TTTTATAATGCTAAGAGGTTTAGAGTACTTTTTTCATTACAACACAGTAAGATGTAGGTAATTACAAGCATTTTTTTACCAGTTTAACAGATGAGGAAACTGAGGCTCAGTGCAGTTAAGCACTTAACCACCGTCTCTTGATTTCAGTTTAATTGTTCTTTCTACTATTACAGATTACCTCCTGAAAAACTTGTTTTTTCTTTGTCTACATCCTGAGCCTAGATCAAGTTATTAACAGTAAAAGTAGTATAAGATAATTAAAATTTTAAGTACAGTTTTAAAAAAAATTATTGCTTCCCTTTGTTTTTTTACACCAAAGCCTTAATTTTCCTTCATTATTGAACCGAACCCTTTCTTGAAAAGAAAAATATTTTAAATCCAATATACAATGACTGTGTCAGATAGCATATATACCATAGTCTACATTCATAGCTTCTTGCCTTTACTTAGATGAAGGAAAGTTTCATCTTCAGTTCCCTAAGGATCAATATTTGTCATTACAATTAATCAGAGTTAAACTGCCTTTTCTGTTTTTTGTTTTTTTTTTTGAAAAAATTTGTTATTTGCATGCATGAATGAAAAAAGCATTTAAATTTTTTTTATTATGTGACAGGTTATGTGTTAAATCCTAAGGCTTAAAAAAAGTGAGGAGGGCCCGTGCACACAAGGAGTTTACATTCTAAGGTGGGGAAACAATGTATATAGGGACATGGTGCCTAAGGAAGGGATTTTTAGTCTTGAGGATCACAGGAATAGTCGATCATTTGGTCAGTTGATATGCTCCTTGCAGAAGCAATGGCTGTATTTTATTGTATTGATTTGATACTGTGCCCAAAATGAGAAATGAAAAGTGGGGAGGGGGTGGTAATTGGTGGTACATGTGTGACAGAACAGATGACAAGTTGGCATGGATGGATGGAAGGATCAGAGAGGAAAGTGGTCTGTGGCTAATCTGGACTAAGTAGGCTAAGTAAGTTTGCACTCAATTATGGCTCAGTCCCAGGATAGGAAGTTCCAGAAGTTATTGGTTTAATTTCCTCAGGGTCTGAGGGCATGGATTCTAGAGGACTGATAAGGTTGTTGTTTCTTGTTAGAAATAAGTCGTAGATGGCAGTAGAGTAGATAGCCTATAGATTACTGGATGAAATGTGAAACATAGTCTAGTGGTCTGGGTCTGTATAGAATATTAGACAAGCGGTGTATGTCAATCTGTTGGGCTTTAATTAGCTTTTCATTAGTTCATGAACATTTTTCCATGTTTCTCTGAATCTTTCATATTCATCATTTATATGGTGGAAATATTTCACTATATTCCTATGCCATAACTTGTTTCCCAACAATCAGTGTGTACCCACTTTTCCCCTAATTGTTGCTCCTTCACAAAAAGTACTGTTATAATATATTACTATGTATGGGACCTTTTCCTGTCTTTGACCTCTTTGGGGGTATTTACCAAGTAGTAGTGGGTCAAAGGGTATAAACAGTTTAATTTAGCATTAATCTCACATAATTCCAAATTGTTCTACAAAAAGTTTGAATCAATTTATGGCTCCATTGGTACTGTTTCAGTGCCTATCTTCTCTTGGCTCTTTCCACATTGACTATACTTCTTTTGATCTTCATCTATAGAATGTGACCATTAGTTTACATATTTGGGACAGTACAAATGGAAGTCCAGATGGATGAGTTGGACCCAGAATAAAAGGAGGGTGGGATAAATTGCCTCCAGAAAATTACAAAACTCCTTTAAAAGTAACCCAGTACTTCTAGAAACAAAGGCTAATCTTAGTATCAATATTTTATTAGTGTGATTTAGCTGTGAGCTATTGGAACATACTATGGTCTCTGAAAAATTAAAAATGAATATCACACAGAGGGCAATAAAGAGGTGCATACCACAGTATAGGAAAAACAAAGAACTTCAAAAAATAATTGGAGCAAAAGATGTCATTAGGAAAATGTATGAAAAAGAAGAGTCTGTGTATGTGGCAGGAGTGAAGGTCTGTGGAGAACCCATGTACTACCCTGACACCTTCACAATATTTGAAAAAGGTAGCAAAGGTCTGGAGCATGTAAGATGTCTCCTTGTGACAAATGTATGGGAGAACGTGGATAACAGTCACAAAGAGAGGCAGGCATGGATGAGTTGTGATTTACAAACCTTGGAGAGAGCAGTCAAATCAATGAGTTCACAAAAACATTTGATTAGTTGAGTGTCATCTGTTGCCACTTTGAGAATTGTGAGGTGAAACTTAAGAAGCTTTTGAATTTTTTGTTTCTATTCCCAGTAATGTGGAACAACTCTTGAACATGTCAATGTTACAGAATTTTGAAAACTGTTCATATCCTTTAACCTACTTAGCTATTAGGAAAAGACTCTTTTTATGTATACCTTAAGTACAATTTTGTAACTTTGAGTCATACTGCTACTTAAATTTATAATCCACAGCTAATATGAACAAAACATTTATTGCCATCTACAACAGTTTCATAAATATTTTAGTATGGGTAATTTAAAATAGCCCATTTTACATATTATTTGAGAGTTTATCCTTCATTCTCCTACACAGGTCTAGACTGAGAGGATGACATTTTTTCTACTATATTCATGGAGGTAGAAAAAAAACCTGAAACTTCAGGATATTGCTATTTTCCTCATTTGGAGTGCATTGGAATCCTCATTCAGTTATTTTCTGTCTTCAAAAGAGAAAATAACAACGTGACAGCTTTGTCTAAGAGTCAGAGAAACATTTCATCTTCATTATTAGTTACCTTTGTCCTTCCTCATTCTTCTACCCAGTAAAACACTCATCTTGTGAGGTTCTGTTTTAAACAGGACCATGCAGAATTTCCTTTCTATCATAAAGTTTTTTGGAAAATAATTGAGAAAAAGGATGAGATTTTCACCTAGTTTATTTGCTTTTTTTCCTAGTTCAAATACTTAAGTGGATCTGTGATCTCATTGATATGCAGGAAGGCTGTAATAACCTTAAATGATATAAGGCATAGCCTATCAATTTCTTCCTTTCTGGTGTGGTTCTTGTCTGTGACCTTCCATAATTTTGTTATAGGAGATCCCACTTGACATGGTTTCCTCATTTTCTGTTGACACAGTCAGGATGTGAATGGAGTGTATGGAATATATTGCTCCCTCCACAAGTCCAGCCCACATTACTTTTCATTCATTCATTTCTTTGATGATAGTCTTCACTTCAGTTCTTCATAATTAATTTTTTGTAATTTGTTCCAGCCTACTTACACCCACTTAAAGCACCTTTCTAGTGTCCTCTAATTTAAGTTTTTCATAGACTGCAAAGTTCCATGACTTGCATCCATACAGCAACACTAGTAAAAGATAGATCTTTGTTACATGGAGATCTTTGTCTCACAATTCCTAAAAATAATAGAAGAGTAGGAATGTTATACTAAAGTTTGAATCTTGTAGAAGATATCAATAAAATTAATCAGAACATTAAAAGGATTTTACTTCTATTAGTCTTTAAGTTAGAGTTCATCCTATTCTGATTCACTCCCTTTTCCACTGGTAATTACTGTGAACAAGTGTAGCAGTAGGATCATTTTGCTCAAAATAATTGTCCTTTTTCAGTTTTTCTTTGCATTATATCTTAACAAAGTATACCATTTCTGAAGTCATTTTTCAAATTTCATTAATTTTAAGATGTTTGAGAAAAGAATGGAGGTATTAATAGAATTATATTGTTTTACCCCTCAAATAAATACCTTGCATTAGATATTGTCAGTCTCTTAATTGATACTAGAAGTTTGGTAGTCACAGATTTAAATAATTTGACAAATTTTTACCATCTTATTTCTGATTTCATATTAAATTAAGAATTAGTAAAGTAATTCCAGAGTCCAAGTGTTAACTACTGTAAACATTAAAAAGAGAGAAAGGGTTCTCTTCCCATACATTATCATCATTTCTACTTAGTGCTTCTGTGGGAAAATCTCCATTAAAACTTGTTTTATAATGTTATTGCCAGTAGCCTAGATTATTATGGTCAAAGGACTGAAGATCTTAATAATTTTCTTTTAGTTCTTTTATTCTTAGGTACCTTTGTTTCATGGTCAGTGTGTAATTCTTTTTGGTTTCTTACAATATCACTGTCTTTTTGTGCATTTTCATTACGTTGTTATATTTGTGAATTTTTAGTAGGGATATTTACCTATTAAAAATCAAAGCTCTCAGGAAATGAAAATCATGTTTCTTGCTAGTTCTATTTTTATAAAGAATATATAAAAAATAAACTTTTATTGATCATCAGACTTCTAAACTAATATAAAATCTTAAGCAAAATTGATTGGAGGAACAATTATACCATGGCTTTTCATAGACATGAAGAGAAAAATCTTTAAGCAGTTGTTTTTTATTGTATAGTATTATTTCCAGTTGAATTAGGTCTTCTGTAGGCAAAGCTTTTAAGTATTTAAGGCAGAGTATCTTTTATTGCCATGAGTATTGAGTACTCAAGCAGTCTAGGCAGTCTTCACTCCTTTTCAAACAGGACAGAACTGTATTTTGTTGTATAATCCAACTGCACTTTATCCTATTTACATATTTCAAATTTGCTATAATAGTGTCTTTTGATATTTGCTTTTAGGAGAAGTCTGAAGCCAGTTAATATCTTTAAGTATTTTTATTCTTTCTTTATCTTACTAGTTTGGCCACAGTTCTTGGAAAGACCTGTAATTTGTACCTGTGTAGAAAAGTTAAAGAGAAAAATTTAATTCTTTTCTGCTAATTTATTTCTTCTTTGGCAGATTCAAACATCGCTTTCTTCTGCAGTTAGTCTCTGTAGTCCTTTAGAAAATATAACTGTTTAACTTTTTTCTTTCTAATTAATTTCTTATTTGCTGCTTAAGTGGTTTTAATTTTTTTTTTTTTTTGTAAATCTGACGCTGTCAGGGTTCCATACACTTCCAGGTTAGGGATAACATCATCCTAAAGATTCAATTCTTTTCTGTCTCCCTGCTTACAGACAGGGAACACAGTCTCTTCAGCCTGGACCTGTGTAGGAGAATTTGGAGAAAATAAATTAAGAGGTAAGAAATATACCACTAGGAATATTTTGTTCTGTTGCTGAAGAAATATTTTACATGATGCATTTGGTTTTTTAAAAGCTAGTATCATGAAAATAAACGATAAAACTGTCAAATTAAGTAAATGCTGATACCTATCTTGCTGTAATCAAATTATATTCTCCTTTTATCATAAAAATTGACTTCTCTTTGTTCTTATTAAACTGCAGGTGTTAATGCCTTTAACATAATTATAAATTATTAGGATTTATTTTACAGCTATCTTTGTGTTTTCAATGCACAATAAAAAATGGACTATGGCAGATTTATTGTAAAGAGCTGAGAGTACATAACAGATGCATTAATATTAGAGCTATCTCTTATACCTTTTAGTATAACTTCCCTCTTGCATATGAAGAAAATAATTCTGAAATCATGATAGGAAAATCAGTAGTAAATCCTAGATTGTGGGATTACTGCACATTTACAGAGTTAAAATTGTGGGGTAGATATTGATGATTGTGATCGTAAGAGCTTAGCTTAGTTTTTATAGTGGTTCCTAGAAAGAAGTGCTACTGTATTTATTTCCATTGTACACACTACTGATTTATATAGATTTTAGAAACAAAATGATATCGGGAGGTTTTTAAGTGACATTGCTTCATCGATAATGAACTCTAGCAGTGATAGATAAATTTTTATATAAATACATAGATATATACATGCACACACACATACATTTCTCCTTTTGCAATCTGAGATATGAACAGTGATTATTTTAATAGTTGAAAGGTTTTTTTCCATTGAATTTGTGTTTTTATTCACAGGCACTTTCTTATCTCCTTAAAGTATCATCTTGATAAAAAACAAAAAGGGGACTTAAAGCGGAAATAAATGCTGGTCTCTTATGTACCTGTTACGTATTATTCAGTCTTAGTCTTTGAAAAATAAATATACCATCTTTGAACCAGACTATAGTTACATAAATTGATAGGCAAAAATAAAATCTTAAAATCTAAAATCAAACCATTTTAAAAGAATTCCATGGGAAATTTTTAAAAATTGAAAAATAAACTTTTAAGTTTGAAAATAAAATAGACATTTTGATTCTAAACCTGTACAGAAATGATTGTTTCTTCAATAGCAAATGTTGTAATACCTAAGTCACAATTTAAAAGGATAGTGATTGCAAGTAATATAGTCTACTGTTTTCCCACACCCCCAGTGAGTATCACTTTAAAGACTACCATGCTATTCTAGAAATTAATAAGAGGAGTTGAAAAATATATTTTCATTTTTAAATAAAATTTCAAAAAAAAGTATTTAAAAGTATTTATGGAGACTTATGGGAACTGCAGTGCTACCTTCAGGAGAAACAGAAACAGAATGTTTCTTCAAATCTGTCACTTGTGATAAAATGTTTGGGAGGTAATAAGTTGTGGGGGGGAAATCTTATAATTTCTTATAAATTGGAGTGCAAGGGAGAGAGTAGTGGAGGTATGTGTGTGAAAATATGCTAGTTAATACAGTGACTCCAAATTATATCTGTCTAAACTCATAAGATGTACCTGAGAATGGATTAGCTAACTTTTATGGGTTGTAGACAACTAGTTAATAGGATACTTTTAATCTGTAATTATGAATAATTGTTACTATACTGTATTACTGTATTATATTACAGTACTGTATTACAGTAAAATCTAGATTATGTTGGTGGAAGGGAGCAATAGCATAGATAATTAAAAATAATTTACATTTGGCTTGGGAAAGCATTTTTGTACTTATATCTTAATACTGTGTTTCTGTTCTGTTAATTCATGACACTGTTAAAACTGTGTTCCCTGGAATGCTAAAGTCAGCATTCTAATAGGAGAGAGAACTATTACAAAGCAAGACAAAATATGATTATTGGATTATAGAAGGTAACTAAGCAGAATGGGGCCATTAAGGAAAATCCAAAGAAATAATTTTAAAAGGAAATAATCTAAAAGAAATGGAAAACTTCCTGTAAGGGGCTGTTCTGAAACACGCCCCCCCCCCCCCCGAAATGCGTACTGTGAGTACAAAAGACAAGACAGTCAATGAACAGAAAAAAACCACAGTTCTGCTTGGCTAATAAGTAAAAATGATGGGAGCTATCACAATAAAGAGGGCATCTTCTCTTGTCCCCAAAGGAAAGATTCTCCCCATGCTGGGGAGAAGATAAGTTTTAAGTTTTAAAGACTATGAATGAGGTGGTCAGAATTATTTGAGGAAAATCATCTAGGGAACTCCTAAATCATTGATAAGCAGTTTAAAAATATATCAAAGTTAGGAATGCAGTTAGAGAATATTAGCAGTCTATTATACCCATGGTATACTCAGGATGTAGACTCAATGGGTTTTTGGTTCAGGCTCCATTAATAAAGATATTAGGAATATTCCTATTCCCAAATTGTCATTTGAGACTGTGGAAAAGTCCTTTCATTTATAAGTTATTAGAGCTAGTGCTGACAAATACAGGGTGTTCTTGATTAAAAATAAAATTGACTATTCAACAGAATTGTGATGGGAAGCTATTCATTTCAGAGACTTGAAGGAAGTCGTGGGTGGAATTGTGGAACTGCTAGGCAATAGTTTGTTTTTACAACTCACCATTTTACTTTAAAATAGATTTGTGTTTTTGGGGTCAGGAGGCCTGAATTCTTGTTTCTGTGACTCTCGGCAAATTTTTAATCTCTAGGTCAGAGTTTTCTCATTTATAAAATGAATGGCTTGAAATCAGATGATCTCTAAGGTCCTGTCTATCTCTAAAATTCTCTTTTGGGGGAGTGTAGGTACTGGTTGATCAAATATGCTAGTTAATTATGTTACACTTAACTATGGAATATTTATGGAATGCCAGAGGGACATTGGATAGTATTTTTTTTTTTTAACATAAAACATCTAAAATTGTCCCTGAGTTGCCTAGAGGTAAAGAAAACTGAGCAGTGGAATTAAGTAACTAAGAATGTAGAGTGAAAAGAGAGTCTAGTAGGCTAGGTTAGTGTATATGAAGACTTTTAACTCATTTATTTGGTAATGAAGTTCTCAAGAATTTCAGGGACTTTGGTGTTGTTTTCTTTCTCTTTAAATTCAGCCTAGAGAAGTAATTGTAGCTTTGAGACTGCAAAACTTTTATGTAGCCCCTAGGGATTCTACTAGCTAAATGATCCTAATAATAATAGGAAATGAATTTATGTTTCTATCCTGATCTAAGTCTGGGTATTTTAATGAATACTTTCTAATCATAATTTTTTTAAATACATCTAGAGCTTCGTCTTATTAGGATGTAAATTTCTTGAGAGGCAGGACAGTTATTTTTGTTAATATTGACTTTTTCATGCTGGTACACAGTAAATTTTTGTAAACTTTTTTTAAATGCCTGTAATTTTTCATGGACTTTCTGCTATCTTTGTAAAGTTCTGAGGAAAGATTTGTTTTGCCCATTCTCATTAGGCCTCATTCAGAGTAAGATGGCAACTGAAGATTACAGGCTTAATTGTGCAATGGGACTCATTCTATAATTTTACCGATGAAACTGGCAACTGGAGATACTAAATGGCTTGTCTAACATAACACTCAGAGGTGGTATAAGCTAATTTAATGCTAGGAGTGAATGCAGTCATTTCCCCAAACGTTCTTAATTTCAAAACAAGAGACATTACTTTAAATGACCTTTTAGTTTGGAAAAAGTGCTGAATATGAAGTCAGAACTTAGGTTCTTACCACTCTGCTCTTTTGCTTTTGAAATCTTGGGCTAGGGATGGGCTGCAGCTTCAAGGTCACATGTGGCCCTTTAGGTCCTCAAGTGCTGCCCTTTGTCTGAATCCTTTAGTCAGAGAGCCACGTTTGAGGATGTAAAGGGCCATATGTGACCTTCAGGCCGCAAGTTCTCCACCCCTGCCTTGGACAAATCACTTATGTAATAGGACTGAATTTTTCCTCTTATAAAATGAAGGGGTTGGATGAAGTTCCTTTTCAGCTCTAAATCTTCACCACAGGAATTGTTTCTCTTTCCATATTTTGTAGTTCATGTTTTCTTAGGACAGAAATGTTATTTTTTTGGCTAAAAGATTTGCTCTTTAAGATCTTTTAGGAATAAACAAGGATGTTTTTGTCAGTAGCCTGATTGATAAAGAAGACTAAATAAAGTATTTTTAAAGTACTTTTTAAATAAGGATATACTATAGAAGAGTAGGTAATACAAAATAAACTTATTTTGTATTAATAGTTACCAGAAGGTAGTTAGTTTTATAAGCTTTTGTACCATTTTGTATAACAATACTACTGATGAGATGAGATTTAAAAAAAATTTACTTTTGAGATCACTTAATCCTAATGTTTGTGTTTAGTGTACCTAGCTTTACTTAATGTAGTTAATTCTGTAACTAACTTTTCAGGAAAGAACTGTTAATCCAAGGGAGACGATAGTACATTTTTCACTATGGTTTTTAGAGGCATCTCATTTTGAAACACAAAAGCAAATCCTTCATTAAATATGAACTTAACTGAAAGGATATTGAACCTGTTGTTATATATTTCTTTATTATAGTCCAAATCATTTCACTTCCTATGTTAATGATGCAGTATGCACGCACGAAATAAAATATTCACAATGAAGTTATACTCTTTATAATACTAAAATCGAATGCTTTGTAAGCAATTTTTAATTTTTGCATTTTTCTTTTTCTTAACTAGGTCCTTTCTGATGTTGCTTGAGCTTATTCTCCTGATGTCGGTCTCATTCCTGTTGGCTAAACATTGTCTCATTGGCCACATTAAGTTAATGCTTATATGTATTTTAGGTGCCTCACTTTATAGTAATAGGAGAATAATACAGTGCAAACCTTAACCTGTGCATTAAATGACCTAATTTGTCCTTTTCTTCCATTCCTAGATAACATCATACCTTTTGGAAATAATACTTTTTGTAGCCTACTTCAAATCCTTTTAGGCTTATCCTACACTGAAGAGCATAGTTGAGTTTTTGGAAAGTTCAGGATTTACAAATTTGGTCTTTGATATGTATCAAATTACAATTAATGATGCAGGAAAATTACTGGAAATAAGATATGTGTTTATTGTGGAATAATAATTTTGCAAATATAATTGTATTTTAAACATTTTGCTTCAACATTTTGATATTTTTCTATGTTATAGGTTGATTATGGTTGACTGAAGTTTTATTTTAAGAGGTGATTAGTTTGATGTGTTTATGTGACTCATAGTACTACAACTTTAAGTTGGTGAGTTAAGAGTTGTGTAAAAGGTTTATAGTAGTATTTAAACATGAAATATTGGTAGTTACTTTGTAAATACCACATATTTCTGTGGTTCAGGGAGATGAGTGGTTCTGTTAGTTAAGTCTTAATAACCATAATTAATAAAAGAAGTAAAAATGAATTGGCCTTTTTAGCTTTTTTCTCTGAGACTATATACCTTAGTTTTAGTACCAAATCTAATCCAAACAAAGCTTCACTGTGGAGCCAAATAAATTGGAGGCTTTCTTTTCCTAAATACAAAAAGACACTTAAGTAAAACTAGTGACCAAAAAAAAAAAAAAAGTTTTTTCCCCCCATAAAAATCTCTGGAGAATTGTGTCAATGAAGGGCAAATAATACTAACTGATAAAAAAAAAAACCTATCAAGATTTGCAGTGTTGTGCAGGCTTAAACAGTCTTTACTAATAACATCAAGATTTTGAGTGTTAGAACATATTATGTTAAAATGTGATTAGTATTTCAGTGCTTTGTCTCTTTGTATTAAATTGTATCCATAAAGATATGCAAAGTAACTGTTCATGTATTTATTTACAGACTACAATTTCCGTCGCAGCTCAGTAAATAGTATTTCCCCTGTTAGTGCCACCCTCTCTTCTGGGACACCCAGCGTGCTTCCTTATACGTCAAGGCCTTATTCTTATCCAAGCTACCCCTTGTCACCAACAATATCGCTTGCTAATGGCAGCCATGTTGGACAACGACTATATATCTCCAATCAGGCCTCATTCTTCTGAAGAAAATGTTGTAAACATTAATGTAAAAATTTCTTTGTAAAACTGACAGATTAAAACACTGTTTTATTTTTAGATTGGGTTTGCACATTTGGTTTGAAAGGAAAAATGTTTATTTCAATATAGTAACCTTTGATACATATGAATATGCATATGTTTATTAAACTTGTCAGAAACAAGTTAAAAAGTTATTCAATGGTTTTCCTTGAATTAGGGTTCAGTAGGCTACTATTCTTTTTAAACTTTTGGATTTTAAGTATTGCCAATTCCTGATCTAAGAGTGGGCAGTAGAACCCAGTGGTTTATGTTAAATGTTTTTCAAATAATTCCTTTGCTGACCAGCATATCTTTAATATTGTAACACATGCAGACAGTAGTTATGTTAGGTTTAGTTACCAAGGATCACTTACAGTGTTGGAGATTAAAACAGTTATTTAACCAGAAGCATCTAACCATTATGTGGCCAGAAAATGATGAGGAAAAAAGATTAAGTAGATTTTATTTAGTAGTAAATAAAAAACAATTTACTATTGTGGTCCTTGAAAATCATTATAAGTATTTTAGTTAACAAATACTTGTTATAAAAATTATCATAATTTTTGCTGTTAATTTATTGAGTTACTCTAGTTATTTTATTTGAGTTTGTGATATTCAATGTATAGTAGTTGGAATAAGTGTTATGGTTTTTTAATGTTGAAATCATGTGTTGTTTAATTTCTGTACTTGAATTCAAACACTTTGACATTAAATTTAACATGTGTCTTTAACATGTGTCTGTTGTTTTAATTTTTTAGATTGCTAAAAATTACTTACATTTCTTGTTTGTTTCTCTTTCAAATTTCTTTACCATTTCTTCTTTGAGAACAGTACAGAACCCTTGCAAGGAAATCACGGTCTATGCATACATAAAATCAATGAATAAACATTTTGTATAAAAATTTGTTGATATTGTGTGAAAGCACAACTGCAATAAACCTCTTTTTAGGGGTAAATAAAAATAGTTTGTGATTGGGCCTTTCTTCATTGGCTGATTACATTATTTTTCTCCCCAACTTCTTCATCACCATTTCTGAAGAATTTGTTGAAGCAGACCTATGATGAAGACCTAATTGGAAACACTTCATTTTCAAAGCAGTATGTTATGGAATTGGAAAGTGGACTTTCTTCAACTCTTCTAAGCCAAACTTGACATTGTTCATGACTTTCAACTATACTTCTAAACTCAAATGATTTTTATTAACATGTTCAGTAAAATATTCTATATTCATTGAAGGACAAGTATTAAATACTGTGTGATCTCTATATAAAGTGTGTCTGTAACTTTAATAGCCTTAGCAACACTTTTTTCCCCAGGTGCATAACATAAGAGGTGCCAGTGTGGAATTTAAACTACATCATTTCCTTTCATGAAGAGCCATTCTAGTGAGGTTGGCAAAGAGTTCTCATTTTCCTTGCCTTACTTCTCAGTAGTTTGTGGCCACTGGCTAATGAAATAGCAAATATGGCAGCCCAAACAAAAGGAAACACACTAATTTGGTTGTCCTGCTTGTTGAAATGTTTTGAATGTCCTTTTTTTGTTTTTATATTTCTGAACTTAAGCATTTCAATGTACAACAGAACAAAGAGGCTTCTAAACTTTGAATCTCCATTTCGTAGCATTTGCTTTATAATAAATTACACACTTTACTTTCAAAACTGCCCTGCTTGTCTGTTCTTCTAAGAAATATTTCAAAGGCCCTCTTACAATAAGGCATTACTAATGCCAAGCTTTATCTCATGTTTCAGATGTGAGGTTCATCTGACACCTACTTTGCCTCCTCTTTGCTTGATGTTTATATAGTCATGAGAAATAGTTCTACCCCATTTTTCCTCCTTCCTACATTCATATATTCCTTTACCCTCCCTTTTCTTTCTTCTCTTCAAACCCTTTTTAACAGAGCCATTCTACATTTTTGGAACTTGATGTTTCTGGCTTCTATTCATAGTAACTATTTTGTAGTGCTTAAAATTCTGTAAGAAATGTTGATTGTCAGATTGTCATGGCCAGTGTTTTCTTTTGTTCATTTCTCATTTTTTGGAGTGACCCGTAGCTCTTATTTAGCTTTCTCAGTATGCTCTGAAGGTATAAAGATTCTGAAGGGATATTTTTTTTCTCCTTAATTTAATATTATTAACATTACATCATACTACAGTTGCTTCTAATTGCTCAAATTTACCTTTCTAGTTTTTTCTGAACTTTTTTGGTTTGTATTTCAAAGTTCTTACTCGGTCCTGTTCTTTCATTCTTGAAAGTCCTCTATTTCACTAAAGATTTGTTTTACCCTGCTAGAATTAATTATACTCAGCTTTGCAGCATCAGTTATTCTTGGTTGTAAGACCAAGAATATTGCCTTTTGGAATATTGCATCTCCTTTTGCAGCTGCTAGTCTCAGATGATCATATAGTCTCTTGGTACTTGAACTTCTTACTGGATCCTTGCAGTATTTTTTCTTTAATGTTGAAGTTCTAGATTTTGGCCAACACTGGGACTTTTCTTTGAGGATTTCTTTTAGGAGATGACCAGTGAATTTTTTCTGTCTTCAGATTCTTTGACTTCTAATTTTAAAATATTTGGGCAGTTAGTATTTATAATGTCTTGAAATGTTGTGTCTGTACTTACTAAAGAAAAAATGTGGTTTTTAAGGAGTCTAGTGATTCTTAAATGAATTCTCCTTGATTTGATTTCCAGGTAAGTGTTTTTTTTTTTTTGTTTTTGTTTTTTGCTATCCGATTTCTTAGAATTTTTTCTGTTTTTTTAGTCTATTAATTTTGTTCTAACAGTTTTCATCTTATGGAGTCATTAATTTCTGTTTGATTTATTCTAGTTTTTAAAGATTCCATTTCTTGGTGAGGTTTACTAATTATCCCCCAGCAAATCTAGGCTACTTATCTTTCCAATAAGATCAGACAATAAGTAATTGAGATAAATGTAAACTCTTAATTGGGTTTTCAAAACTTCGAAGTCACAAGTAGAAGACTTAGGGAGGCATGGTAAGGAAATAGTTTGAAAAAGACCAGTTTTAGTGACTGCAGTCTTAATAGGAGTTGACTATAAAATGTCATCAAAAAAAGCTAAAATAATCTTGAGCTACATTGAGAGGCATAGCTTCCAAGAATACAGAGCTAGTAGTCTTATTGTGCTTATTTGGAGCATTCATTTAGTTCTGGGCATTATACTTTAGGAAAGGCATTGATAAACTGGAGCAAAGAGAAGAGAGGGTGAAAAACCTTGACTCATAGAGTTGAATTGGAGAGATTAATCAGTAGTAATTGCTTACAGTATACTAAGTGGTAGGGATAGAGGCAAAAACACGTCCTCTGCCCTCAAGGAGCTGAATTGGAAAAGAGACCATCCACAAATGTATATACAATATTAGGGAAGGTAATCCCAGAAGAAAGACACTAGCAGTGATAGTGGTGGGACTTAGAGAAAGGGAGCACTAGGCAGGCCTCTTGAAAAAGGTGGGATTTGAGCTGTATCTTTAAGGAAGCCGTGAAATAGCGATACGGGACAGTGAATAGCAAGGGTAATTGAATAAAGCAAGAGTTGTTTTTGTTGTTTTGCTTTTAAAGAATGGAGACAAGCATGGTTGTAGGCAGCAGGGAAGCTGCCATTAGAGAGGAAGACACTGAAATTTAGAGGGGATGCTGCTGTAATCTGGAAAACACAGGATATGATGGAATCAAAAATGTAAAGAGTGTTGTGTTTTGTTGCCCATCCTGTAGCATATGTGTGTCCACATGTGTCTGGCTAGATGTGGCTCACAGGGAAATATGAACAAGTATCTCTAGTAGTCTCCATCCAGACTTCTCCAAGGGAGACTGATTTCTGCCAGGAGGGAAAGCAGGACAATGGAGTCAGGCTGGCCACTGTACTAGGAGAGGTAGAGTACCAAGGTAGAGTTGTATCGTTCCCTGCCTGCCCTGTGTGCGGCCCACCTTCCCCCCCCAAGTTAGTCTAGGGGAAATAATTTTTAGGCTCAAGCTGAGCTTTTGATCACTATCCCTTAATGGGGAAGGGAATCCCCAAGCTATGCATCCAAGGTGTGACTCTCCATTAGATACCAGTTTCCCAAGAATGCACATAGCAAATAGCAAGTAAACCCCACTCATCCAAGCCAAAAGCACATTAGGGAAAGTGTGCAGATGAGCCTATATACCAGAAATTCACAGAGTAAATGAGTTCTGCTATTGGGAAAGAGCTCAACCAAGAGATAGTCCAGGATCTCTTGTGGAGTAAGCTAAGAATAAGACTGTGATGGAATGCTCCTCAGTCTGTCTTTCACTCTAGAGATCTGAAGAGAATCTGGAATCATGTTTGTCTCTTGAAGCTGAAATGGAAGCCAGAAGACTATGATCTCTCTTCTCCCAAGCTCTCCCCAGCTCCACTCCTCATGTAGGCATGGAGGATTGAGTGATCAATCTTCACCAATTCGAGTTTTACACAAATGGGCTTTGAGCTTGGGATTCTAGGTAGATAGGGGTTTATTTTGGGAAGAAGGGCCACCTCTTCATGTGAGCTGGGTAGAGGAGATAATGTGGGAAAACATCTGAGTGTTTTCTTAGTGTCTCTTCTTTTTAACTTTTTGCTGATTCATGGAGTGAACAAAACCACCACAAGAACCTGTAGAGTTCCTTCAGTGACCTTGAAGAGCTAGTTTAGGGAACTGAAATGCGTAGAAGACAGAGGGCATGTTGTTGGCTGTTCTTCCTGGTGAAACTTCTGACTTATGAAGAGAAAGGAGGAAATGGGAAGTGAGCAGCTAGCAATACAGGGAGTCCCAGAAGTCTTAGAGCAGTTTTAAGCTTAAAAGCCTTAATAGCGTAACACTACACAAATTCTGGGACACCCCATATAGGTGGCAGCAAAGAACAAGAATTAATTTCTCTGGATCTTGGGTATCTATATACCAATGCGTAAATGGCCACTGAGATTTTTAACTCTGGTAAATCTGATTTTATAAGTATGGGCAGTACTTGTGGGATGGGACTTGTAATGAGAACATGACTGTAGAAATGTATATTTTGTTCAAAAGAAATGGCTCTAATAGGAGGAGGTAGTGTGGCTACATCAAGGTACTGACATCCTTATTGTGCCTTGAACAAGACCCTCAGTTTCCTCACTCTGTGCATTCTTACTGGTTATCCCCCATACATGGAATGCTTCTCCCTCATTTCTATATCCTGGTTTCACTGGATTCTCTCAAATCCCAGCTAAAATCCTATTTTAAACAAGAAAACATTTTTTTAAATCCACTTTAATTCTAAAACTTTCTCTCTGTTGATTATCTCTATCATATGTGTGTGCATGCATGCATAATTGAGTATTATCTTGCCCATTAGACTCTGAGCTCCTTTGAGAGCAGGAAATGGTGTGTGTGTGTGTTTACTTTTCATTGTGTCCCAGTTCATATTGCCTGGTACACAGCTGGCCCTTAATGAATGCTTGTTGATGACTGGAAGGCATTTCCCTTCTTGATAGTCTGTTAAC